CTCAGTAATTAACGTACTTACGAAAGATAGAAACAACAATAAAGCCACGAGGTACCTTTTTTGATACAGTGCATATATCCGAGTAATGAGAACAGCTGGTAAAGTTCAAATGTAAGTAGTTTGAGGAAAGCGCAAATTATATCTCATTACACTGAATGGTCCAAAAGTTCACGACTCCGCCTAGCCCAGATATAAGGAACCCCTTTTCACAACTTGCGAGGAGTGAGCTTTCGCTTGATGGATGAAGGAAGAAACCTACAACTGACATATGCGGTAAATAATATAATCTAGTAAGAATGCAAACATTGTTATTGACATACTTCGATTGAAGGTGGGGTGTAAAATAGATCTGTTGCATGCTAAGATATTTTTAAAAGGATTCAATATACACGAAGAGACTCACATATAACTTGATAGGCCATCAAGACGATTGGTAGATACCGATTCTACAGAACTTACAACGGCTGGTCATTATATAAGACATTATGTGCTCACGATTATGAAAAGAGTCCTCCCAATTGTGGGTTTTGCGAACCAAACTCTTGATACCTATGCGGGCTATAAGTGGGAACGCAGGGAAGTCTGCAATATATCAACTTACTTGTTGATCCATTGTCAAGAGTGTATCCCAGACTAAAAGAGTGACGGAAGCCACTGCAAAGACGATTCAAACACGCCCAAAAATAGCAGCAGAGTACATAACGTACGAGTAGCGTACTGCGAAAGGCTTAGTTATCGTGTTTGTGGTAACGGCAAAATCACATACCCGGGTGACTATACGATCGTGAATAAATATAGATACCTCAGGGCCTGCCATGGTGGAAGTCATTGGTCTGAAGAAAATCTGACCACGGAGGTACGAGAAAAGGCTTTATAGGGCCTGAATAGATATTCAAGGGGGCCAAGTTATTCTCGTCGATGTGGGAGGACTGATGTCGATTCTCCAGGAACTCCCAACTTGTCGGAACTCCGATTTATTTACCCTATCAAATACTAAATCAAACCATCCCCCCTTTTCAATCATACTTGAATAGAAGACTGGAACCACACTGAGCGGTGGAAATGACCATACATCTGATGTGAATTCTGTTGAAGCCGCGATTGATGAGTACTTGCGTCAGAATTCGTTCTATCCATCACTGTGGGCGCCAGCACTGAGCGCATACCCGTGATCATGTGGTGAATTGAGTTAGCACCGAATCCGTCCTTGTATTCGTGTATAGAGTCTCCGAGAAAACCAATTTTTGAGTGAGTTGAGAAAAATTGGCGAGTTTCAAAGTAAGTTCAAACTCCGCCCGGCGACAACCTGACTCTGAACCGCCTCAACCACGCCTCCGACTCCCTATCCAAGGATAAAATTCATCCATACTTGCATCTATCAATCAACGTCATTCAAAATACTAAACAGCACCCGGGTGCCATTGGCGCAATTATAACGTGAGTCTTCGTGCCTCATACGTCGATGACGCTTTGGAAAGATCAAATAAAATTTAGAAACGTTTTACATAAGAGCGCATTCAAGCCAAGAAGATAGACGGCATGCATCAATGACTCTGCAATAAAATTCATTTCCGGGACTGTAGGGGATTTTTGGGGCTGCGTGAGGTACCACTCAGTTCTATGCTTCCATTCGCTGCACATTGGCGCTCAACAACGCTCAACCCACCGTTTTCCCCCGGAGGCTGTATAATACCCCTTTCATTTCTTATACCTGCAGAACCTGAGGAAACAAGTTAAACAGCAATGAAAATTGGATCGGAGCAGGGTTACGGTCGACGGCGTCGGATGAAAAGTGTGGAGGGCAAGCCTTCTCATGCCACCTCTTCAGGGCCATATCTGGAACTATCTTTAGTGCGGATTCCATTTTACAATGCCGCTGGCAACAAGGTATTTCATCACGGATTGAACCCGATATAACAACACAGGCACATGTGCCTTGTGTTGAGTATATGTTCCGATGATTGTTCCTCGGGGCAGTGCTCAATGTCTGTATTCCTACTTGAAAGAAGCATCGGTGAATACTCACGACTATTTTTCGGTATTCTACCTCGAATTCCGTAGCGACTAACGCACCCTATCATTACCCTTGCAGCCGAGGTCCCGATGTAGAAAGCTGCAGGTTCCCCTCCTTGGAACGAAGTAGTCACGGAGACTCGCCTCCCACGACTGTGGTTGAACGCTCTGCAAAATGTGTACTATATCAGTTCAAGATGATTTTTGCCACGACCATCATCCCTGCGCGGTGGCGCTCTCCCAATAAAGCACTCCAGATCACAATGAGTGAATGGAAGCTGGATACGTTTCAGGTTTTTTTCCTTATCGATATACAAGGGAGTCATCGCTGACAACGAATATACCGCAACTTACCATGGTCGGGCTGTGGTGATAGATGTTCGACTATTCTGTCTGGTATGGGCTTATTGGACCTTGACCGAACTCTAGGCAAGACGAAAGGGAATGGCTATCCTGCTACTCAAAATCCTATACGGAAAGGTCGCTGGCGAACAACGTCCCAGGCAAGAAAGGGAATACGAGACATTATTGGGGCCGCCGACTGTCGCTTTGAATCCCGCGACTTTGGAGAAGCTAATTTCAGTTTTGGTGTTAGACGTTCGTGGCATCTGTTGCCCCGTCGCACTGGAGATTTAACTTCACCGCTCCCATGGCATAGAAGTACACGTGACTAAAGAATTTGCCAATTGGACGCCCGACGTCGAAAATTATTCACCGACGGTCTAAATCACGCACGCAGTCTCATGCTTTAGAACATCACGATCACGCCTTACCAGAATATTCATCAATCTCCCCACCCTCTAGTAATGGCTTTGTCGGCGCCGATCCCTTTGGGTAATGACACTTGAATATGTTTTCAATCGTACCGGGGGATTCCCAGAGAACTGCTCGCAGATTTCTTTTTTCCAGCATCGGCCCCCAACTATCCTCGTCACATCGTCACGGTTTCACTGGGTCATGTAGGCGCCCTAAGTATCCCTTTTCCTCCCCATGAATCCTTCTCCAGCTCATGGACATGAAGTCGGTGGTGGTGAATGTCTGACACCTAAAACTTGTAGAGGGTGCCTTATCTGGCCCCTTGGGTATTTCCCCCTCCCCCAGCGGCATTTGTGCGCCTCAGAGTCTTGAATTTACCAGAGGCCTCTTTTTATGAGTCTTCGATATCTCCCTAGCACATCCTAAACGGCTCTGGTGGTCAGCACTAGACGATCGCTAAGCTGACATCTGCGACACTCTTCCTGCACTGTGTTACACAAGAATACTATCCTCCCCTTGAACATGGTGCTGAAACATATCTTTCCTCGGGCATCCCCCACGTACATGGCCATTCGTCGAGATGGATACAAAGGTAATCAGGGATGGATATAGGATAATTATCTGTCATCGTAGTTCATTTCGACTTCAAAAATCCTGATAGCGATAGTGATCGTCACTCACGGATGGCGATGACTCAACGACCAAAGAAGTGTTTTCGAGAATCTTTACCACTCATCACTTATCAAAAGTTATCACAACATCTCTGATTTCCCTCTCTGATCTTCGGTGAGCTACGCCCGGTGCTGAGCTTATCACCGTCTCATTTCACAGCCTTTTTAGCGCTACTGAGTGCCTGAGATGGACCCGCAGGGGAGGGGTGGCATCCCAGGCCGAAAAAACTTCATAATTTTCTTTAGTGTTGCCAGGTCTACATTGTTCGGGTTTCCTCTGAACGAGGACGATATTGGACCGCACGTTGTGCGATAATTATACACACTCGAACAAATGGACCGCCTTCGATAATTTACTGCGAAGGCTTTGTTTCAGGACGTGGGCTTTGCCTTCTTTCTTTGTCCAACGCCGCATCCAAATACATCTGAACAGAATGTTATGGGTCCGTCCGGCTCGGACTTGGATGGATTGGGAATAAGTTATCTCTTCCGTTTACAGCGGTAGATATTAACAGGGAACTAACCGAGAACAACATTTACGTTTCAAATCGAACAACGACTTAAATTTATCAAGTTTTTTCGGGAATTATGGACCTAATTAGTGAGATCATTGATATTTCTGATATATCAAACGTTAACCTGATATGTCGATGCAGCTCCACGCTGAAGTCTAACGAGGAGTCCCCAAAAATCTGATGCTTCAAGTGAGTTTTGGGGTAAGTTTATGCTAAATCGCTGATGAGACAACGAAAATAGATTTACCCCGAAAAATATCAGTTTTCCAAACGTAATAGTACATGGGGCACGACTATTTCTGGGAGCCGAACAGGTTTTTATACCTAACCCTCTGGTGGCATGAGTAATTGAGTAAGAAAGAGATTCTATTTAGGATCTAATCCCACCAGTATATTTGATCTTTCCATCGGGAACTAGGATGATATTGGCGGTGCAGAAATCGCAATCACAAAACCTGAACTGGGATCAAAACGGCGGTCACCAGTTTATCGAACATGTGGGATTTCTGTGCATAGTGCATCTCCCCTGCACGGTTAACAGCGGCTCAGATGGTTAACGCGTGGATTCCATTGGACGCTGAAAAGTCTTTGATCCAGACCCCGGTCAGTTTGTCACTAGATATTTTGGGTATGTAGCGTTATATTGTCAGTTACGAAGAATCACTTTTGGGCACCGGAAATATGGACTAAACTTGTAGCTATGACATGCTATTCCGGGCTGAAGAGTGCTATGATTTCTTTCGATGTCATTAGGTCTTTGGGCCCTCGTCGCTGGCTTTGTCGATGTATGGTGATGAGTATGTGTTCTACTGCTTTGAAGGGACGAGGCGCCTTCACGTTGGTGTCATGTGAAATATTTGAATAAAATGACCTTCCCGCGGATCGTGGGTTGACCCTTCCCGAATGAAACCCGTTTCTAACAACATTTATAGGTAGAATTTGAAATGGAAGCATACCTGACCCGAATCCCCTAAAAGAATTCACTTTTCCTGGAATGCTTATACCTCGTGATTCACCTAGTCCAACTATACAGCTATACTCACAGGTCCTTGTCGATTAGTGGTTAGATCATGACGTTGTGGTTTGTGTAATCGACCAAAAATACCGTCAAGACGGAGGTTCGACTTCTCCCTGGGACATTCTTTTATTTCTGGTTTTTGGATAAATGCGAGCTGGCCAGGGGGAGCATTGGGGTCGGTTTGAGTCACTAGTATTGCTTTTGTGGCCCAGAAATGATTCTATTATGCTCATACACACTACTCTATGATCCACCCCCGGTCTCTACATCCACGTCGCCATCAAGGAGGGGATCCGGAGGAAGCGGGGTCATACCTCCATATTTCTGCTTTCCCTTTCCTGTAATGTTCGTTGCGGTACCTGTATGACTTCACCGCATTTCCCGAGCAGAAGGCTAAAAGGGGCGGTCACTAATCTGTTAACCGAAGAATGTTATCATCCTTGCAACATCGTTCAACAATTTCTCTCATGTCATTTTATGTTTTTATATGACTGAAATTTTGTTATGGAGGTGATGTTCACATTCTTACAATTGTAGCATTGGGCCTTGATGATGATGAGGGTGTATATAAGCCTCGTTTGTTTAAATCTGACAGATCTTCAACCAGATCTTATTTATCTTATCAGATTAATTAGCTACACGTGTTGATGGCCACGACTCAGAAGACAGCTGCTTATAGATAATTAGCTGATCAGGTTATGGCGCTATTCCATTTCTCTTGTCCTCCCCAAGCCCACTTTCTCCCTCCCAGCTGCCATGGAAGAAAACATCAGCACAAGCGCATCCACAATCCGTTTACTACACCACCACCTCCCTGAGTTCCCACCACTTCCCCGTATAGCAGGGTCAGGTGTCTCAGTCCCTTCGTCCCCGCGTTCCAGCACGCTGCCGTCACCACCAGACAGCCCTTCCTCAGAATCGGTATCGTCCCTGCCTTCCGTGTCGTCCTCGTTCTTCTTCAGTTCAGCTGCTGCGAGCCCAGGCCCGTCGCAGCCGCAGTCGCGGCACGAGCCTGATCATGCGAGGGAGAGCGCCGTGGCACAGGGGCTCATCATCCCATCGCTGATGCTCCCAGAGGCGGTGGGCCGCCCGACGCCGTATGGGCAGACGGTGGGCGACGTGCGACTGCTGGTGCTGGGCAGCAAGGGTGTGGGACGGGCGTTTGTTACGGGGTTGTTGCTGGAGGATAACGAGGATGTGGTGGATGTGGGGACGTGGGAGGATGTCGAGTGTGGGAGGCTTCTCCGCGCATCGACGGATTGGGTTGAGCACCGGGATGCACACGGCCTTGAGAGGTTTGAGCCTACGAGGAACGTTGAGATATTGGATTTGCCGGGGTATGATCATGATACTGATGTAGGTCCTAGTGTGTATGTCGGGATGCGGTCGTTTACGCCCCTTTAGGTCAATGGGTTCTTGCAGGCTGTAAAGTCCATCATACAGGTACCCTTCTACACCGTGTCCGACGTCCTGGACCCGGCACACCGACCGTCCGCCATCGTCGCTAACCTCGTCTCCTCAACAACCACTCCACTCTACACAGCCCTCATATTCCTACTCCCATCAGGTAAATGGTATCATTAACACTTACGTACCCAGACAAGCATCTGACAGGTACAATGCTCTAGCCCCAACCCCGCTCGACAGCCTCATCATCGATACACTCAGTACGCATATACCCACCATCCTCCTCCCCCGCATCCCACACCACCACCAGACCAAATTGCCATTCCACACAAACTCCAAACTTTCCTCGTTCCGGCCCTCCTCCGTCCTCGCCCTCCGTGCAGGGCTCTTCCACTCCCCCGAAACGATCGCCGTCCTCCGCAGCGAAGCCACCGACCGATTCCTCCGATGGCGCGAGGTCGAGCGCGCCGTCGACGAGATCCACATGGCGCGCCGGGACGATGCAACAAACACTGGCTCCGGCTCCGGCTCCGGCCCTGGAAATGGCCCCGAGGACGCGCGGTGGGACAAGGGGCGGTGGGAAGCGGAGTGGGTGGCGGGGCTGTCGCACGATGTGGCTCGGCGCCTGCGTGAGGGGACCCTGACGGAACGGAACGTCCGGCGTGCGCAGAACCGGCTCCGTCAGGTCCTTGGGGAATCTGACCTTGACGGTACCTGTGCCAGTGCCGGGGATCATGATCCTGAGTCGTGCAACGGCGGCGAGGGGTACGACTATGACTCTACCTTCGACTACGACCCACTACACCTTCCCTCGCTTGTCTTGTTCTCGATCTCGTTACTCGGCCCACTGCGTGTACGGTTAGGGCGCACAGTCGTGAGGGTCGTTGATAAGCTTGGCGAGGCGAGCGTGCAGGTGGCACTGGTGGGTGGGTTCTGTGTGGGGGTGGGGGTGGGGGTGTATTTGAAGTCGGCGCAGCATTGCCCTTGAGGGCTCGGGACTCGAGACCGTGTGTTTTATCTACTCTATTGCCTTCTACCTTCTGTCTGGCCGCCTGCTGTCTAGTGTCATCTACTGCCTACCACGCTACTAGTATCTGCTCTGGGACCGGGACGATTCGCGACCGTGATGTACGTCGATTCAATGTTCTGTGTAAAATAGTAATACCGAGACCGACCCGATTACATCTGTATCATGTATCCCTCGACACTTTACGCACTTCAAGTCTATATTTGTAGCTACTTGCTTTATATAGTGTTTTATATTAGTTGTCTGCAGCTGGTGAATCGCTGAAGAACGCTCGTAGATGTTATAATCTATCTGTTTACAGTTTTTATCGTTAATCGTTACGTTATTCTATGGGGCACGCATATATAATAGGGTCTTCATGATCTCCGAGCCCGAAAATTTGGAACTAAAAAGTGTCCCAGGGAGAAGTCGAACCTCCGTCTTGACGGTATTACAATCTAGATAAATTTCCAGTTCCACAACGTCATGATCTAACCACTAATCGACAAGGACCTTACAGGTTAAGTAGCAGAATGTTCCTATGATTGAGAAGTACTATGAAGTACGAATATGTGCCATCTTTGGTGAGAGGTGAATCTGTGATGGACCTTATGGGTGTCCTGTCTCTCCCTGATTCACGAAACAGACCATTTTCCTTCCACGATCATCGGTACTGGTGGGATATCTCAACATCTGGCCCTTAAAGTTGAACAGGGTTCACTGAAACATGCTCGAGCTGTACGCAGGAATGAAACTTCAGCATTCTACATTGTTGTTGGAGTAACTGTTGCATTGAACATGGCTGTGAGTGCTAGAGCTCTAGAGACCGACTGGTGTGGCAGTATTACATACTGAAATTAGGGTGATATCATGTCAGACACGTCGTCCAACATTCCGAGCCCGGACGCCACAATAACGTCGGTCGTTAACAAGTTTAAGGCTCAATTACCATGTCGGATGGAGGATTTGGATTGTGTAGGACGCGTTTATAGTGGATGGTACAGTATACACTAAAACATAAATTCATGATTCCAGTGCGTGAGCCTGATTGGGGGGGTAGTCAAAAGGTAACAAGGGTTGAAGCACGTGGTCCCGGAAAACCTGCCACCGAATTTGAACCGAATTTGAGTTTATATGTACTCCTTTCTGCCATCCCTGAGCTCTGCCTCATTCTAGATAGTGGGGAAATACTTTTCTCATTACCCAATATTTTTTATCAACCATATCAAGTGGTGCATACGGATTGACCTTCATCTTCTCCGAACCCTGCTTGGGTACGATTTATTTTGTGACGTGGACTTCCAGCCCCGAGGATGATAGACACAAAAGCAACACCAACTCTTCGCACGCGCCTCAATCCATCGTTGGTCTAGAATGAAGGATACTGTACAAGAAAGAAGGCGAAATGTATCGTTGCGAAGTAGTGGATCCTGGGACTGCCTACGTAGGAGCAGTTCGTTCAACGGCCACATTCTCGGCTTGTGGGGCGGGTAAGCCTAACTCCTATGTCAATCGGACATGCATCGCTCTTAGAAACGGCGGCTCGGCAGACCAACCAATAACGACGAAGCAGAGACGATTTCATGGGATCCCATCGAGTGCACGGAACAAGTCGAATCAAGAAACGAACGTCGCAATCGGCCTTGGGCCTGGGTTAAATTTTCCAGGCTATAGAGCCCATTCGTCATGACCCGTCACTACCCCAATTTCTGGTGGGACCACCATGCGAATTCCGCTCGAGAAATACCGAAATACCCGCGCCGTCGGCAAAATAGAGTTACGCCGCGCTTATGTTCATCGACAACTAGTATTTGGTTGGCAGTGTGTTGGACGCTGCTAAATTTCGGAAGACTAGTCTATTCACTCAAACTATCAACAATCTCCGCTGTAGGCTTCGAGAACGATGGCCAGCCGCGGCTTGTACGTTGAATACATTGTCCTTCTCACACCCAAGGCCTGAATCTCAGCGGCACGTCGAAGAAACACCGTTCTATCCGTGAATTTGTACCAAGCCGGCCGAGTTTATATGCCTTGAATATACGGCATCTTGATCAACGAAAGGTAATGTGCCGTCTGAACCATTGCGGTGGGTACTCATGACATTGTTAGTTGGTACCGATAATCACGTCTTATTCCACTTACTTGGATCACGCACTTGTCCATCGCGATTCCTACACGCCAAAACTCAATACACATCTTACCAACCCGTTTGATCCGGATACAGCCAATTCAATTTTGATCTAAACGATACTGCCCATCATATCAGGCGCCTCAAATGATGATCGAAATAGAAGACATCAGGCTGGATTTTGTGAGGATTTTCCTCCCATCATGCCATGTCTAATCCCATGTACACAACCCACCTCTATCGAAGCCATCGCTTCGCGAACACTCCAAGTCTGCCTTGGATGATACGATACATAATCTAGACATGTATTCTATCCCTCGAATTGGATGGCGTCCGACCCCACCTGAATGAATCCAAATTTGCTGAGAATAATATCATCCATACGATCACCGATACGACTATTCGCACGACCCCATTTGACATTCATTGTGCCTTTCCACGGTCGCTTGGCGAGAAGTTTGTGCCGCCCGCTGTTTATCTATGTCTGCACCCCAGTCTGCTTTAGGTAACATTTTCACAGTGTTTTCGTGCACGACTTAAAACAGACACTGGATAATTTTACACTGGTCAAATATACCCCATCATTCTTGACCTCTCACTGATTTTGGCAATATGAACATTTCGTCTGACATTCCTCTCCTTAATCCATTCACGCCCATGGCATTCTTGACACCGGAACAAGCGTACCAGAAGACAATTACGGATTATATCGTTGTAGGGGGGTTGAGTGTAAGTGTCGTACACCCAAGTATATGACCGCCTGACTTACTTTGATGGGATTTTAGGTTCTAATTTGGGACATTTTGACTCACTTACCAAGCGACTACAAACTTGTGACCCAACACCGGATTAACGTGCCAACAATCACATATTTGATATCAAGGTCGGCGTACTTTGACCGTTACATGGTTACTTGGTCTCATCTACAACAACAGGTGGAGTACCTTGCTATATGCAATCACGGGGACGGTTTACCACAGTACTTCCTTTCATTAATCCGTTCCAGGTATATATCTGATGATCATGTTATAGCTGCACCAATTGGGGACTGCGACACATTGACGAAGGTGACTTGTGCGGTGTATCACGTCACCGTATCGTCAACCGCCCTTTTGTTTTTCTTCCGCGTCCGGGCAATATTTAATCGGAATGTTTACATCACGGCCGGATTCTTCGTTTTATGGGTAATCGTCCTTGGCGGGTCTTTATCAACCGTGTTAAGCATTTCCGGGGTACATATCGGTAATACCAAGTACTGTGCCTATACCAACTTTAGGTCATACCGTAGCGGCGTCGCCAACATTACTCTCGCCGTCTTTGATACCTGCGTCTTCGTCGCAATCACCTGGTCACTCTCACATAGCCAGCTTTCTATCCAGAAGAATGGCGGTCTCTCCTCAGAAACGCATTTTGATGTGTTTGGGCGGTATCTTCCCGCCTTTTCAAAAGCGTTGCTGATCGATGGACAGAAGTACTACATGTGAATATATTCCCAATTTTCTTCTACAGGGATAAGTCTTACTCTCTTACCACAACAGGGTAGCCACAATCGCCAATTTACTCGTAGTGATCTTCGACTTCGCACCCGGAATCCCGATGGCTTACCGAGCAACCTCCTTGGCCCCCGCCATCGGACTGACGAACATCATGGCATGTCGCGTATTCCGTCATACCAAAATGGGACGTGCAGGTCAAGATGCCCATGCCACTAGTGTGAGCACGATGGTATTCCGAAAGGGCAATAACGAGCCGACGCCGCCCCTGTTTATCCATACCCAAATGCAACGGGGCAGCACAACTACAACTATGGCCTCTGTTACTGAGAGCGAATTTTATGTCTCGAGTGCTACAGAAAAAGATACAACTTCGTTTAGTTCCCATTCCTTTGAAAAAGCGGAGAGTGTTTCGGGGGAAATGGTTTCTGTGCACCAGATGGTGTGATTTGGGTGTAGTGATTGTTAGCAGATAGATTGGTATGTGCAAGGCTGCAAGAACATTTATTCATATCCAATATTCAAAGTGATTGCCTCGCCTAAGTCATCTGCCACCTAACGATAACGCTGAGGATGCAGATAAATTTAAAGGGGCACGATAGACTTTGAAAAGCTAAACATTTGGCCTCGCGCTCACCATTGGACCTGAATTCTCCATTCATGCCACGTGACTGTTGAATATCACCAAAATTCTGACTACTCAGGTTGGGTTCAGACACCGGACCCCAACTACGGACTACTGTCAGGTCTATCCCAAGAGTTTTCGAGTGATAGACGCCATAACTTCACTTTGATTGGTTATACAACGCGAACTTTCCAGGACCAAAATGGGCTCTAGTGTTGGGGCAACGGAATCAGTATTTGCTACTGGATTTTTGGCTCACAAGTTGATGTCTTTCTACATTCCCAGAACTTCGATTTTTACGTGGAGAAGAGTCTACTTTCGCTGCCACGGCAGATCCCAACCCTAACTGTGGTCGTGGCTTTGGGGAAGATGTTTCGATGCTCGTATCTCCGGTATTCGGATGCAGCTAAACTAGGCTTTTACGTTGAATATCACTATCACTTGAAGGACACATGTGCTTGATGGTTGGACAAGCAAATGGGACAACAAAGCCTTCAATAATAACTTATCAACCATCGAGTTTAGGTGCGCTGCTCGATCGAAGTTGATTTAAATATTCTCCGAGGAGCGCCCTCAGCATGGCGGAATGAAATCACTCTATATTTATGCCATGCAGTTTGAGGGCTAGAATATCGGCCTAAGATTACTCCCTCGGATTATTAACAAGTACTACTAAGAACTTAACTTTGAACTCTAGATAACCGGAAATCCACGTCTGAGTCCCACACAAGGTACGAACGCCACTTCAAAACACTGGTCGCTCCATGCTTACTACATTCAAGTAAGCACTAGATTCTGACAGTTTGATCCGTGGTCATCTTACCTGATGAATAAGTGTGTAAATTGTAACGCCAGAAGACAAACAACAGCTTCCTTCGCTTCCTTCACTACTCCAGGCTTTTATTCTCGAATGATAGCCAAAATTTGGGATAGCTCTTGGGGCCTACCATGTATACCTCCCTCGTGTTGGAATAAAAAGGTCCGGGCGGCCAGAGCTGGTAATGTTGCCCCAACCGCTCCTTACGAAACCAAATAAACCATGCACCGCCAAAATCACCTCCGAGTCCAAAGCCTGCACTGCCCTTTCCAAATTCTCTATACACCCCATTTCTATAATTAACCCTGAATCTCCGGAACTCATCGAGCTATGTATAGGACTGATTCGATCAAAGCTCTCCTTGAGATAAAAACAAACTACAGGATACGCTCCCCCCTTCTCCCCCCTTCTCGTTTCTTTCCTCCATTTCAGCAGTTACGAAAAGCATGG